TCCCCCCCTCCCTCCCCCTCCCTCCCTCCCGGCACCGCACCCCCCTCTCCCTCCCTGCAAGCAGCCTGCATCTCTTGAGAGCGAGAGAGCGGAGGGCCACGTCAAGGATGGGCTGCCTCCCTGCCTCCCTGCCTCCCTGCCTCCAGGCGGCCGGCCAGGTGGTCGCCAACGCGCTCCTCGACCTTCTCGCCCTCCCGCTCGGCTTCGGGCAACCGGCGCACCTGTGGCTCTCGCAGGCAGGCCCGCCCGCGGTGAGGCGCCTCGGAGCCGCAGCGCTCTGGAACGGGCTGATGGTAGTGGGCGCGACGACGTGGGCAATGTCGTACGCGCAGCAGGCCGTCGCCGCCTCGACGGCGGCGCTCGTGTACGCGATGGAGCCAGTCTGCGCCGCGCTGATCGCCGCGCTCGTCTTGCACGAGTCGCTCGCTCCGCTGCAGATCGCCGGCGGGGTGCTCGTCGTCTTCGCTAACGCCGTCGCGTCGGGGGTTTGGCGCGGCTGAGTATTTATTCGCCCCGTTTCTCCTAGCGTTTCTTCTTTACGATAAAGAGGCGTAAGTGGCCGCGAGTCGCCGAGAGATTTTCTGCGTGCTGAGGTTCATCTTGGCTGAGAGCTTAAAAACCTTAATTCGCTCTCACTACAATGGTTGGGTAGTAGGGCTAGAGGGTCGCTCTACACTTAGCCTCTGCAGCGAGCGAGCGCTCAACTTAGCCCCCGCACGGAGCCGGGCTCGGACTTAGACGCTGTATGGTCGGGGGCCATGAACTTAGACGGCACAAGGCCAAATCCGGGTAAAACCCGGGTATACCTGCAAAAGTCCAGGTTTACCCGAAAAATACCTGGACGCGTCCCGACCAACGTATGCCGCGCACGACGCCATATCGCCTTGTCCCAGGGCCAGTGCGCTACTTGCGGCGCGCAACTCCTGCTCAAGTACGCGCACCGTACCATGTGCTGCCGCTATGCGTGTCTTAAGGCGGCTGCGGCGAAGCGGCGGGCGCGGCATGCCGATGGCAGTGCGGACGATGCGGTTGCGATGTGTTCTGCTTCAAGATCGTGGCGGTGCTTGGCATGCACTTCTGCGATCCCAATCAGCTCATCGCAACGAAGCAGCGCAACAAGCTGGCTGCTGCCAACAAGGCCCTATGCTAGATCTACCTCACGCGCGGATCGTTCAAAGAGGACCAGCATACACAGGCTTCTGTGACATGCGTTTGTTTGAGCTTGAGGCTATTTGTGAGAACTATTTGGCTTGAAGATTGCGCTCAAGAAGAGCAACGAGAATCGGAAGAGGAGGATGCTGAGGCGGCGATTGCTGAGCATGAGAAGGATCGATCCGGATTAGAAGGCGCCCGCCGCAGGCGAAGAAAATTTGGGGGCTAGCGCCGTATCGTTGATCACGGTGGGAGCCTCTTGGCCCCAGGCTGTGCCACGGCCGACTTAGCCGATGTAAGAGGCTCTCGCTGATCTTAGACCGCGTAAGCACCCCAGCGTGACTAGTCACACTTAGACCCGCTCAGCCTCGAGGCTCAGAACTTAGACTACTACCCAACCAGTCTCACTACACTACACACTAGACAGTCAAGACTGGTAGACACTTTCACTCCGCACACCCTGGTAGTACTATATACCTATATACACTCTGACACTAGTCCATTCCTTTCATCGTAACCTCAGTCCCGCCACCGCCGCCTCCGTCGACCGCCTCCGATGCCGTCACCTCCGCCGCCCAATCCTCCACCACCGCTGCCGCCTCCACCCTCTCCCCGTCTCGCGAGACAGCCAGGCCCAGGGCCGAGAGGAAGGACGTGACGAAGGGGATTTTCGCCGTGCACCATTTCCAGCCAACTGTGCCGAGGATTAGCCAAGCTGGCCCTAGAGCCAAAACACGTGATTCACCTCTAGAGCTCGCTC